TCTAAATAAATAGTTTCAATTATTCTGGACAGAAAATCTACAATCTGCCTTTTTGAACACAACAACCTTCCTAATTATCATTGAATCTATTAGGGGCCCCTTTTCAAATCCACATCACACACCCCAAGGGGTTTATCCTTATAATAACTTTAACTAAAGTGACTAATCTCCCTCTCTTACAAATCACACTGAAGACATCCAAATATCGGCTTTACACTAAATAAGTGTGTCTAATAGCAATTGAATGAGACAATTGAATCCACGTCCCATCTGTTTGCCCTTTAATCTAAGCACATGTAAGCACAGATCTCACCCTCACCCCTAGATTCCACCGGGTCCGTCTGCTTCGCGTTACGGCTGCCCCGCGGCGTTCGCAAACATTGCGGCCCCTCTAGTCAATGGGTGCTATTCCACCAGACGCGCCGCGTTACCGCTCAGAAGCGTCCCAGAAGCCTCTCGGCGCTGGGGTCCGCTCAAAATAGGATGCAAGTCTATTTTCGACGCGAGGCTTTGCATAGCGCCGGGCTAGAAGTGGACCGGTCAGAGCATCCGGCCCATCCCCACAATAAACTAATTTTGCAATGCCAGCGTTCTCCTCCGGTTTACAGGCACTGTGTAAATTATATATATAGAATAATTATGATGATGAATGCATTTTTTTACCACTAAAATACAGCAACACATCTTTGATTAATGTCGTTTATAACTGGGGTATTACAATTATTATTAACTTTGTCTGTACAAAGTAGCCTGTCCAGGAAATATGCCCAAATCAACAAAAACTGCGAGCCGGCACGCAAGATGCTCCGCTTCTGAAATGCTTCTGAAACGCTCCTGAAACGAGGAGATGAGAGCATGAGGAAGGAGCAGAGAAACATATACCTATGTATTCATCCGTCCAGAAAACTCGAGATATCCAAAAATGTTTCTTGTAAAAAATAGAAACCTGTTAATAAACTTAAAGCTCCCATTCTCTTCATAAGTCCTTTTATTTGTTTTATGTAAACATCATAAATCATCAAAACAATTACAAAACTCATGTTCACTAGTTGCATCAGCTTCTAATTGTATGTCTTTGTAAACTTAATATCTTTTAATTGTATTCAGATATAAACCTATGTGCAGTCATAACATCATAATTGTACATTTTTAATAATAATACATTACATTTAAGTCACTTTATGAAACATGTCACACACAAACTGATATGCAATCAGGTTAATTATAAAAAATTATTTGCAGTGGGACATTTTTCTTCTCTTTTATTACCATTTCTTATATTTTATAGATAAAACGTTTAATTTAACTATATTTAGTAAGACTAGTTGTGTGCACAATCCAAAATACGTAGTGGGATAGGTGCTGAATTAAAATAAATATATACAATGTTAATCTAAAGAGGACCTCAATTCCTTTGTGTGGGAAGATACGGCTGGTGGAATTACAATGAAAGAGAACTGAGAGTCCATTCTGCAGACCCTCCCTCCCCAGGATTGCAGTGTAATAGAGAAGCAATCCCAGGATAGAAGAAGTGAGTAAATGCAGTCCTGCTGAGGGAACATTGAGAAAGACTTTCATGCGAGTCACACGGCACTATCTGAAAAGCCATTTCTTCAGATTTGTTCAAACGGCCACGACTCGTGACAGAATCAGGAACATTTTTATAAAGAGTGATAATAGGAAATCAAGCTGTGCCGGTGATGCAGAGAGCACGAGTCGCGCCTGGATGATGCCGGTCCTGGAACAATACTCGCAATCACAGAAACCACGTCTTCACTGATGAAGGAACAATGAAAGAGGAAGCGAAAATGAAAATGTGGCTAATTAGTTGATTGTGTACCAGAGACGTTGCCATAGCTTCTTATAAGGCAATGCAACAAAAACATTTGACATTAAAATATCCGGTACCACTTTACAATAAGACTACCCTTATGAAAGATTAATAAAGGGTTTATAATTAGGTTATTAATTAGGTTGTAAACACTTTATTAATCATTAAGAACCATTTATAAACCAGTTCTAACATCAACCCAGGCTCACTATTTGGCAAGATGACTAAGCCTTATATTGGCTACCTAGTTTACTTCGTCTTCTTCATCAGCCAACATCCTTAGTATCTGTTGTTCACTGAGTTGAATCTCCCCCCTTCCATCTTGATGTTTCTTGGCATCTCTTTATGACCATTTATTTACGAGTTACTAACATTTATAGTTGCCAAAAGGGAGCCTTGTTGTAAAGTGTAAAACACGTTCCCATTTATTAATGAGTAACTACCATTTCTAATAAGGCTTATCAGTACAGATACATGTGGGCTTACTATTTGGCAAGCAGCCGGTCACAGTTTATCTCATGTCTTATAAAAGCTTATTAATGATTTATAAAGTGTTCACAACCTAATTAATAAATGAATTACAAACTATTTGTAAACCCTTTATAAGGGTAGTCTTATTGTAAAGAGGTACCAAATATCCTAACAGCTGAGAGAGCAGCTTACAGTGTTTGAAACAGCGATACAATCGAGGTCAGAAGATCCTTGGGATAATTGCCAGAGAGTTCTTCTCCTCCCAATCCCATCTCAAACCGCTCCATAGTGTCAAGATTTGACATTTTTATCCACCTGACCTTGTATTTCCAGCTCAGCTCAATTTCCTGTGGGAAAAATGTCTGCAGTAATATTGTCCTACTCCTCCTACAGTTGAACCTCCTCCGCTTCAGAGGTTGTTCTGCCTCAGTGGAGGGAGACAGAACATCCCGCAGTGTTGTTGTTATAAATCCTTACATCTAGAGTAAATGACAATGCATGCTACATGTTGTCTTCTAATTAGATTTGAAACAATTAGTCATGTAATCAATTACTTCAGTAAAAGTAGAATAAGATTTGGCCTTTTCTTCAGATGCTGTGAAAGTATGAAGTGCATTTCTTTCAATATTGACTTTAAAATTGGTCTTACATTTTTATCATAATAAAAATAAACATTGTAAATCTCCAAATGCACTGCAACTACTCATGTTGTTTCTAAAATTAATAATAATCTTGAAATTGATCAAGATTGATGTTGATCAAATGTCATTCCAATTTCCTTCTGATTTCATAAAGTACCGCAGGAAAAATATAATATAAGTCTGTTACTCTAACATCTCTGGTGTGTGTGTGTGTGTGTGTGTGTGTGTGTGTGTGTGTGTGTGTGTGTGTGTGTGTGTGTGTGTGTGTGTGTGTGTGTGTGTGTGTGTGTGTGTGTGTGTGTGTGTGTGTGTGTGTGTGTGTGTGTGTGTGTGTGTGTGTGTGTGTGTGTGTGTGTGTGTGTGTGTGTGTGTGTGTGTGTGTGTGTGTGTGTGTGTGTGTGTGTGTGTCAGGGCAGATAGCAGGAGTCTGACACGATTCTGCTAATTCCCTCTGAAATGTTAGGCGGGATTAACTCTCTTCCACCAGCAGCTTTATGGCTCTGTTCAAAATCCCACACAGTCCAGAGTTTCTCATCAAAAACAGGAACGGTTATGCTTCGAGTGATGGAAGTGTGTTGGTGGATGGCTAGGGTACATTTATTATTTACTGTATGTGTCAAAAAATACATCCATTACATACATGGCAGGCAGATCTGTGTTTTTATATACAGTTGTGGAAGCACATTTACTGAAAGGTCCCCTATTTTACTGTTTTTCATCAATATATTACAGGTCTCAGATATATACAAACATGTCTCTGAAGTGTTTGACTCCAAACACCAAACAGATCATTGCAGCATCCCATAATCCCCTCTGTTACAGCCCTGTTTAAAAAGTGCTGATTCTCTGTCTGTTACTTTGTGTCTGAGGACACATGTTTATGTATAAGATACATAAAAAAGTGGATTTTGCATTATAGGTGACCTTTAAGAAACATATTTGACCAACATGTTTGAGGAAAATAAAATGTACATCTTCTAAAATATTAGATAAGACTGTAACAGACTAGATATTAATCTGACAGATGCTCAGGTGTGTTTCTGCTCCTGCTGCTAGAATAATCTGTGGCAGAGGTTTTCAATGAATCCAGACGTGAGGGGCTTTGTGTCTATAAAATATCTCCTGAGAGTCTGACTGCCTCCAGTGGAGCAGACGGCCGAGCTGCAGCCGATGACATCCGGCACTCAGCTATCGATCGCATTCACATAGCTAATTGTTCACCTTGAGCTCAGGGAATTTGAGTGTGTATTTATACGACCGTGCTTTTTATAGAATGGATACAGAGTGGCCCAGTTTGTCAAACGAAGCTGCAATACCTCTGAGGCTCAGCTATCGAAGGGTGTGATACTGCTGCATCATGATCTGTGATACTGCTGCATCATGACGCTGTCTTTATACAGGCTATTCTGTATTTCATGTTTGGCAGAAGCTGGCTTTGAGTTATTGATTGTGCTATTTGTTGATGCTATTAGAATCAACATCATGACACAAAACAGATTGTGTCATTTTACTCGGTTATGTTTTCTTGCTTTTTTATTTTAGGTTGTTTGTTTTTGATAATATTGAATATGGTGTAGTTTTATCAATATTTCAACCCATATGTTTCATTTTTCTGATCTCGGATTTCATTTCATTTCAATCTTTATTTCGAACAGATAAAAAAATAAAAAATAAGAAATGCGAAAAACAGAATACCGTATTGTTAAAATACAGTATTTATCCACATTCATGATAATATTTATATATTCAACAAAAAAAAGTATTCATATTAATAATAATAATAATAAAAAATCATATGTGTCCGAAAGGGAGCAGGAGGAAGCAAATGCTTATTAGATACAGATAATCTAGTTATAAGTTGTTAAGATTCAAAAGTCCTTAATGTTGACATGAAATCATCATTAACCAAAAGAAAGCTCTGGAAAATACTCTTTTTCAAACAACACTGTGATTAAATGTTGCCTCATCCTTTTTAAATGATGCTCTTTGAATGTGTAATTCTTCAAAATACTTCCAAGCGTTGCCTGTTTTAAATGTTTCTTTTGTCTTTCTCACAGAAACGAGCCAAGGGTCACGTGCTCTTTGATAAAGTATGCGACCACCTCAATCTGATGGAGAGGGACTACTTCGGCGTCACATACAGAGATGTAGAGAATCAGAAGGTAAAAGAAAAGTCAAAAAGCTAAGAATCCGTTTGTTAGAAGGAGAATAAAAGCAGAATTACTGAGGCTGTAAAGTCTGTCTATAAAATCTAATTTAGCGAGTCATTTAAAAGAAACGGAAAATGGTTATTATTAATTTGCTTTCAATTTTGGGATGATTCATGCGTCTGTGCTTGTGTGTTGCAGAACTGGATAGACCCTAACAAGGAGCTGAAGAAGCAGATCAGGAGTGAGTAATCTAATAAAGTCACTCAAGTATTTTGTCCTGAATGGCTAAATGAGGAGTATGCAATTATAAAATACTGATAATTGAATGTTCTCTCTGCCTCTCAGCCGGCCCCTGGAACTTTGCTTTCAACGTCAAGTTTTACCCTCCAGACCCCGCACAGCTCACTGAGGACATCACAAGGTCAGTGAGCGACTCGTTTAGGAGAATACGTGATGGCTGCTGGGCATTTGCTTCCTAATGGTGGTTTTTGGGCCTTTCGTATTATATAGGTTTGTGTGCATGTGAATTGTCTTCAGAGGCTAAAATCCCACTGTTCCCTCCAGGGGGAGTTTCTTTCCCACACACTTCCCCCCCTGACTGAAATGCCTCCATTGGACTGCTTTGTTTACTTCTGTAACAAAGTGTTGTCACTATGTTAAACTCACGCTTCTATTGGCTAGCTCTCCAACACATGAGTGGGGTAGGTAAGTTTGAGAAACCGGCTTGAGATACACTTTTTGTTATATTCCATGAATGCTTAAGCATGACGATAGCAATCGAATATCTGAAGTGCTTGATAAAAAAATCCATTAAAAAAAATGTCATCTGTGGAAGCCGTCTGGAGTGCTAAAAAGCCGACGACCAATCATCTGAGCCGCCCGGCTAAAATAACTGGATGCGCTTTACCTGCCTGTCAGGCTTTTCTTTTTATTCTCGTTGCCCCCCTCTTTTT